CCAACGCTACTGTACTTGGTTCAGCTGTCATTCGTGCTCCCTCGTTAGAGCAACTGACTCCATGCCGTAAAACAACGCTGATCAGGGCAAGGTACAGACAAGTATTAGTTGGTACAGTAACTCCTTTGCGAGTCCAAATATTGGGCAGGTTTCCATAAGCACTCGGGGTTAGAGCGACCCGGCATTTACCTCGGTCTGGAAAGTGCCATCGCTGGAGATAATAGAACTGAGATACTTAAATTGGTCAACCTCCTAAAGAATTTCGCCTCCCTTATGCTCCTGTAGATCAGCTGTGTGGAATGGGCTCTTCATAACGTTTGACTTCAGGTGTTTAGAAAGGGACCAACATTCGCTGTTGTGTAACATACGGAAGCCGTCATGTGATAGAGCCCGCTTCTCGTGAGTAGTACGGACACTATCATCTACGTACTCAAGTCAGCGAAGTATCTAGCCGGATATATGATATGGAATTTCGACGCATATGAGAGTTAAATAGTAAGATCATGCAAGGAGTGACTGTATTCTCTTCCGGGCACGAGTGACCTCATAGGTTAAAAATTTAAGAAACGACATAAATCTCGTTAGACAAACTGGTTTAGCATGAACCATTTACTCCAACCTACAAACTTCTGCGGGGGTCTGACATCGACCTGGAGGCTAGCATTTAATATGGAGTAATAACGTACATTCAGATCTGTTTTCGGAGAAGAATATTACCTTTTACGATGCAGTAGCTGATGCATTGTAGCAAAAGCGTTGTAAAGCTGTGGATATAGCTAATGTTACAAACCAGCGACGCTTCATTTTTGGAAACGGCTCAAGGATATGATCTCAGCAAACGTCAGTAGCGTTTAATATTAATTCCTAAGGCAAGCACTGTTAAACCTTATAATCAAACCGTTAGTCTTCGGAATGGCAAATGATAACTCACTAGCGGGACGACTGGAGGATTCAAAGAAATGCATGATGGATGAGGTCAGGAAAAGGAGAAAAAGTATGATACTGTAGTTTTGCTTGGATGTTTGAAACAAGGAAAATCTCTCGAAGTAATGCAGCCCATACTAGTAGATTGCCGTCATCATTCCTTAGCAACAGCTGACATCGAGACTCGACCTGTCTTTTTAAGATGCCGAATGCCTGAAATTGGCATAGGAAAATGTACGTGCCCTCTGTCTCTTCCTAACGAACGACGAACATCACTGATTTGGTTTTAGTCTTTCGTACAAAAGAATTCTATACAAGTTCGAAAGAATTAGGAAAGTCGCTTTTCCCTTGAATGGTCCAAAATTGGATAACTTCTTTATCCATCCTCTTAGTCTTGACTCGGAATTCGCATTGTCAAATCTAAAGCTAGCACTGGATTTGTTTTTATGCTTACTTCCCTCTTATGTTAATCTGTTCTAAATTTTGCGAGGGAAGCATCCTTTTTACAAAAATTACTAATTCGACTACATAAAGTATGGAAAAGTAATTTAATTCGATATTGCAAACATAAAGAGACTCGAAAAACTTCGTCCGCAAGCCGCTGTTTCCAAATCTAAAGACATTATCCAACATTTGGCACTGAAGTCTACCTTTAACGCTCTATTCAAAACCAAGAAAAGTTTGACTAGTCCTTTATGTTTTCGGTATGTTTGCCAACACATGAACAAAGCATTTAGGCTGCTAGGATCATGAATCGATTAATTATTCATCATAGCTCGCCTTAGATTGATAATTGAAGCTAAATGTAGCATATGGTTCATCCACAGAGTGTATTTCAAGATAGCCATCCAAGAGAAATTCGACCGAGCGTGTTTATGGAACATGTGAGAGGTGCCATCATTCGGCGGTACCCTTAGTCGCCCGAATGCTGCACAGTACAGAAGATTGACGATAGAAAGTCATAGACAACCTCATTTACATCAGTATGCAAATTATATATCCGTATTTGTCACCTAGCATTCAACATCTGAAGATAAGCAGATAGCACGAATCTTGAGCGGCCTAGAGCTATACTAGATGACCAAAGGTCATAATGACGTAAACAACTTAATGCTACAGAGTTGTACAATAACTGAGGATTGTCACTTTACGAAGAGGTTGTCAGGCAATCGGAAGAGGAGAAGCAGTTGATTCTGAATCCTGAGGTCGAGCCTCGGCCAGGTCATTAGCCCTCTTAAATTCCAACGTTGACAAATGAGTTCCACTTTGTGGGAAAGAAACAGAAGATTATACATTGTGCTTGTCACGTGCTTGCTGACTACTGTGCCTTTAAAAGCAAATGAAATAGCCTAGTTAAAAGTATAGAAACAAAGATGAGCGATGCACCATAAACTTTATGAAACAATGGTAACCACAAACGGACGACAATCATGAAAGTATGATAATTACCAACATCCGAAAGGTTAAAAGCTTTCCTTCCTTGTGTTGACTGTAAATAGTTCATTCATGAGGCGCTGAGGGAGGAAATACATTTGTTTTCCATGTTGACTTTTCTCGTTTCTTGGACATTATTCTGTTATGATTACTGTCGCTGCTCCGGCAATTAAACGTGATTGATTGATAGGCCTAACAGTTGGCGTTCATTATCTTGGGGGCTACCGTCTTACAAGGCATAAAGGCTGATAAAAAATCATCCTCATTTTTCAACCAATATCAACA